GGGGTATAAATCCAAACTCCTCTTCTTCTCCTCCTTGCATATGACTGGTTAGAACCTGAAACAGCACATCTATCTCTTCTAGTCATCAAGCCTCATTTCTATACACGATTGTAAACATTAGTAATGATAAAGACTTAAGGCTTGATGGTGCATGCAAGCATCTGTGACAGGAATTCGCAATACTAGAAGAAAACCACACGTGTTATTGACATTTCACTCATAATACATACAGTTATAATATGAGTCCTCAGGGGAACTTTGGATTTACATTTTTAAAAAACCAATATAGGCATGGAAACCAAGTGTCCTTTATATATGAAGTAGGAATTTCAAAATTTGGGCAACAGAAACAAGGAATTTCCAATCTGCCTTTTATTAGGAAGCTGGCTTCCTTTTCTAACAGGGTTTCTTCACACCAGCCAGGAGCAGGCCTTAGTGTTTAATATAATTCACTGCAAATGAGCAACCATTAGTCAGCCAGATTTTATATAATTATTGGCAGTGCCAATGAAACATGCACACATCTAACTATTTCCACCCAAACAGAACAGAAGCTGCTTCCACAGCCTCCAAAAGGAGGAGGTGGACTTGAAGGAATTGGAAAGAGGTAGGGAGAAAATCCAAGTCCTCTCCCCCAAACTGCTTTTGCAAAAAGGATTGAAGGAAAGACTCAACAGTCTGGTTTATAAAAACAAAGCACATTTATTGTAGGAGTTTATTTGGAAAGAGTTTCAAGTAATTTAAACTTGGGCGGCATTTAAAAACTAATCTCTTTCCAAGTTTACACATTAATGAAATTTTATGCTGCCATTATGAGGAATGATACAAAACTGTAAAACAAACAACAAATTGAGACTGTAAGAATTATGCCAACCTCCCCCACCACCCTCCAAGACTGTGAGCATTTTTTAATAGGAAGCTTCACGATCTGAAGAGGTCTAGTTACTGGGCATTCCTGAAATGACAACCCTGTTCCAAAAACAAAACAGCTGGAATGAGCCAGCAAAAACGTTTAATGCTTACGTACATAGCCTGAACCGGAGTGGAATTCAAATGCGAAATATTTATTTATTTATTTGATTCAATTTGTATCCCGCCCTCCCCACGGATGGGCTTAGGGTGGGTTACAAAATCTCAATACCAATAAAGTAACTGAAACAGTCATTTAAAACAATACCAGAAACCGCAATCAAGGTTCATGCTACTATGCTCAGTTTAAGCTGATCATAAAGTCAGAGATTTCAGCAGGGGAGGCCAAAGATGGATTCTGGATGTCCGCTGCCTCAACCAAAAGCCTGGTGAATATGCAAGGACTTCCAGTGAAAAAGTCATTCACTTGTTTTGATATTTTGTTTGGAAGCAAGAGTCAGACGGTCAAACTGGGAATGTTACCCTTTAAGAACGGCCTGGCAGAGAAATGGCATTTTTTCAACCAAAAGCCTGGCTGAACAGCTCTGTTTTACAGGCCCTGCAGAATTGTAATAAATCTCGCAGGGCCCTGATTTGAGTGGGGGCTTGTTCCACCAGGCTGGGGCCAGGGCAGAAAAGGCCAGTCAGACACCCTTGGGGCCGGGGACAACCAGTAAATGTTGGTAAATTGAGCACAATGCTCTGCGGGGCACATATGGGGAGAGGCAATCCCAAAGATATGCAGGTCCCTGGCCGTATAGCGCTTTGAAGGTTAATACCAGAACCTTGAACTGGATCCAGTACTCTATCGGCAGCCCGTGTAGTTGGCACAGCACTGGCTGAATGAGAGCCCGCACAGGTGTCACCGTTAGCATATGTGCTGCCGCATTCTGCACTAGCTGCAGTTTCTGGGTCAAGTTCAAGGGCAGCCCCGTGTAGAGTGAGTTAAATAATCTAGTCTGGAAGTGACCATTGCATGGCTAAGTCCTGGTGAGTGAGCTAAATTCTGGTGAGTGAGCTAGGAAACCAGTTGCCTGACCAGCCGTAGATGATAGAAGGCCGATCAAGTAACGGCAGCAACCTGGGCCTCCATCGAAAGAGAGGAGTCCAGGAGCACCCCTAGGCTTTTCACCCTTAGCGCCAGCAGTGTCCCACCAAGGGTTGGGAGCTGGATTCCCAATCCCAACTCCCCATGACTCAGGTACGGGTTCTCTTTCAGTTTCAATCAGCTGTTTAAACCATCCAGTCACGGCCTGTAATGCCCTGTCCAATACCTCCAGGGCGGAGTCCATCCATCCATTAGCAGATAGAGCTGGGGGTCATCAGAATATTGGTGACAACCCAGCCCATACCCCCAGACTAACTGGGTGAGGGGGTGAATGTAGATGTTGAATAACATCGGGGAGAGGATAGCCCCTTGCGGCACCCCACATTTTAGTAGGTGTCGTTGGGACAATTCCTCTCCCGAGTGTCATGCTTCACAGCAACCATGTTCTTGTTAACTTCTTCCTGGGAGAGCAGATTGAAATAGTCCAAAACTGGACCAGAAGACAGACAAGGGGCTTCCAGTTTCATCATTGTGTCAATTGTGGCTGGGAGGTCCTGGTGGAGTGACAAGACTTTATCTGCCAATTTCTTATCATTTCGTTTGCTTTGAGGCAAAAAAGTCAGATTGAATTATTCTTAACAATTGGGGTGGGTGAGAGCCAGCAGATGCAATGAAGGTCACGTAGAAAGCTTTCTTAGTGTCCTTCACTGTCATCTCATAGGCCTTCATAAACACTCGATAAGATGTTCTTGAGGCTTCATCACAAGTGCGCCTTCACAGTCGCTCTAGCCATCTCAGTTCTTGTTTCATCCTCTGTAACTCTGGGGTATTCCACAGAGCCAGTTTGGCACAAGACAGCACTGGGGAGCAATTTTGTTGATGGTTTCGGAGAGTTGGCTATGCCAATCCTCCACAAGGTGGAACTCTGCTTAGGACTGCATTGTGAGAGATTTAAAATCCAATACTTTCATACCACAGTTGTATAACTATAGTTCTAGCATTCTATTTTTATTTTGAATCAGGGCCACAAAAACCTTTTAACAGGATGCTTGTATTTTCAGGATCATGCATATCTGGCCAGGGTAGATGCTAGATGGCTTGATCCTGCTCCCCACAAAAGTATCCATATTTAGCTCCAGCTGAAAAAGATGTTGCTGAGTTTGAGAAGAGCTTTGACATAATATAAGGGTGAGACAAAATGGATTGTTTTTGATCCCCATCGATTCCAGTAAGGGAATTAAGCACATGGTTAATGCCATAATCTCATGCATGTATTGCTGGGACTTCATAAGCATTGTTGGATTGGGCATAACATCCTTCCTACTGAAATCAATGCCAGTTTTGACCTTAACTGGATTATTTAGCACTGCAATCCTAAACGTACTCGGTTGGATCCAATGACTCCTTTCCACTAAATGAGGAGTCTCCCCTCTAGAGTCAAGCAGAGTCCAATCTACTGACTATGCATTAATTTGAACCAAACTCCATTAGACATATCGATAAAGAAACAAGTTTAGGATTCAACATGTTACTGCGGCAGTTCAGAATCATTAAAAAAAAACCCTTACAAGTTGAATTTAGTTAAATATGCACAATTTTGTTTATTGAAGAGATTAGGACAAAAACATTAAACCAAATACAAGACAAAAAACACCAGAGGCAGTAAAATCCCACCATGCACATCACCAGTCTTTCCTCCTACAGTTTTATAAAATAAACGTGGTTGTTTTTTTTTAAAAAAAGTCCCTCAACACAGCACCATCTTCAGAGTGTAAAAACATTACTCCTTTATATTCTTAGATACCAAAATAGAACCAAGGCAGGTCAGCTGCAGCTTTGTTTCTTGATAAGGAACTGTGAACCATCGTCTTGAGAGTGGGATCGAAATCTTCCTGCAGGGCAGGCAAATAGCATCCATATGTCAAATGCCAAGTAGCCATACACACATGCCACATACTATAATTAAGCACAAAATTCAAGTAACATTTACATACTACAGAGTCCACATGTACCTACCCAAAAAACATGACCACTTCACAAAAACGCATACAGGCAGTAACATCAGAACAACTGAGGTACTGGAAACACAAATATTTATGCCAAGAGATTTGTGTGTGTGTGTGTGTGTGTTGTTTCCCCCAAATACCATACAGCAATATAAAAGCAGTAATAAAAAATTATTTGCCGGTCTAAATCAAAATGAAAGCTCTCTAAGGAAAAAGAGGGGAAAGCGAAAATAATTAAAAAAAAAAAACAACCCAGAAATTCAGGGACAGGAATACCTGAAAAGAAAAATGTAAGAAGTATGTTAACTACCGCATGTAACATGTCACCCCAAGTCAACCCGTAATTGAAGTACTGGCTTAATTCATCACAACTGTGACAGATTCATCAATAAATAAGTCTTGACAATATAAAAGGTGCATATTACCATGTACTTTTCAGGAGACAGATCTGTGTCCTAGAACATTCAGCTTATTAATAATACCCTTTTATATTATATTCAGGGTAGTTCAATGAAAAGAAAATTAAAACAGTGTCTTCTTTTAAAAAAAAGAAGAAAAGAAAGAAAGAAAGGAAAGGGAAACCCAAGATGTTGCCTTTCAAAGAAATCAGAGTGGGGAAATGCCTTATTTTTCTTCAATAATAAAGAGCCCTTCTGTTCACATTTGGGCCAGTCAGAGGAAAAGCTCGTTACAGGATTAAGTTTCTTAAAAAAAAAAAAAAAAAGTTGTCCAAAAGGAGGGTTTGTCCTTTGTGGTCAAATTTATGCGCGGCTTGGTAAAAGAGAAGCCAGCATTACAAACATAAAAAAGAGCAATTATTATTTTCTTCTTGTCTCATTTGAACAGTCAAATACATCCAGAAGTCTGAATTAGAAATGCTTCCTGAAACAAAAAAAACCAGCCCATAATGGCTTGTTAAGTGACACTCCTTCACAAAACATTTATCTCCTGGCAAGAAAAAAATAAAAAAATTAAATTGTTTATTCAGAATTGTGAATAGCTATATCAACAGACATGAACAAAAACTTTGTGTAGCACCCACTTCTCATGTCTTTGTTTGTGCATGTCCCACCCCACCCCCTGAAAATTAAATTCAATATTAACTGTTAACACCGGTTTATTCGTTTTTTTAAAGTAAAATAGGGAAAAAAACAGAATCAAATAATAGCTAATTGTACCTTCCCTGAATAATGGCTGAAGTTAAATATCTAACAGTGCGATGCCAAGATGCAAGTTGAGGCAAAAGTTTCTATTCACTGGGAACTGTTAAGTATTTGAATGAAACAGAATCAGGAGTGGCTTAGTGGCTGCACGGGAACTTGGTTGTGCAGTGTCCTTGGCTCCGTGGAAATGAGAAGCTACAGCTGCTTCATGCTGCCTTCTTTTGCCCTGTCAATCTAACTTGATAGCAATGATTCCTCCCGCTGCATGCTACATTGTCATCAACTAGCTCATTTCTTGGATACGTCCTTTTCCAACCAAACAACAAAAAATAACGCCAAGGTGTTCCCCCCCCCTTGCTATCAAGACAGGCTGAGCCACAGATATAATTCTGCGTGATCAGAAAGGACTCCCTTCATATCGGTCCTTTCCAAGACCACACACTCTCCGAACACTAGTCCTAATGCTCAATTAAAGAACGGGTCCAAGTCCTCCTCCATATTGACATCAGGCACCAGCTGATCTGTCACTTCCTTAGCACCATATCCTGAATTAGACACATTAAAATCTGTAGAAAACCAAGGATGGTCCAGAATTTCCTGTGAAGTCAGCCTTTCTGAGGGCTCCCGGCGCAGGATGCTACGTATAAGGCATTTTGCCTTGGGAGATAGAGTCTCTGGAATGCTGAACTGCCCACGGCGGATCTTGCTGAAGAGAGAACTAGGCTCAATGTCATGAAAAGGATACCGTCCAACTAACATTGTGTAAAGCATGACTCCTAGACTCCACACGTCTGCTGCCTTGCCAGAGTAGCTGCCATTTGTGTTCAAGATCTCTGGGCTCACATAGGCTGGGCATCCATGCTTATCAGAAAGGGAATCATCGTTTCCTCGCAAAATGTAAGCATCTTCAAGGCTCTCCAGGTTTACTCTAGTCCTGTGGGACAAGAAAAGAAAGACTGCTTTTAGACTCATTGATAAATATCCATGCAATTACTATTTTGTTGTAAGACAAATACAAGATTGTATTATTGTACAAGATCCTTTGTACAAGATCCTTGGGCCCATCTGGCACATGATGTCAGTACTGATATCCTGAATCTTTTCCCTCCAATTACGGGTGGAGTAAGATTCCAGGTCTGTGGATGTATGGAAAAGTATAGCCTGGGAAGAGCTGGAAGCAGGCTTGAGAGACATGATGTTGTTTCCTTGCTGTACGTGTATTTATTTTGCCCCAATGCTGGCTTTGGTCAAACAGGTTTAGTAGGCTTTTTAAAACAAAAACAAATCTGAAAATGGTTAGGGTATATGCACCACAAGCAGCACCCTTTCTTTGAAAGTGTTCAACTACCTGAAAAAGCTACTGTCTCTTCTCGGCCTAAGAAACCTAGGCCATTTAAAATTGATTATTTGCCCTGAGCGCAATGCTCTTTGGAAGCGTTTTATTTTTCTTGCTTCTCCATAGCATCAGGCTTATTTGTGCTCCTTTTGGGGTTTCCCTGGCTTTTCTCTGACTTTCCCAAACCTGCTTTATTGCAAAGTTTTGAGAAAGATCATACCAAAGCCTGGGTGGCCGGCTGTGTGGGTGATAATGTTCAGGTTTTTGTGCTCCTAGCCATGGGGGCAGCCATTTTCCCTGCCCATGAAACAGCTATTTCATCCCCTCCTGGAGGACTTTAAAAAAAAATCAGCAACTGAATATTGTTATAACTATCTATACCAGATTCTCTGAACTTCCAGTTTTCGTTTTAGAAAGTCCCTAAACCCTTTGGCTGCAGAGATATAATGGGGAAAAGGCACATTTCTGCAACTAGAGCAGAGGGCTTATATTTTTCTTTTTTAAAAAAAGTTAAAGCTGGGAATTCAGAGAACGTGACATAACTATGCAGTTGCTGATTAAAAAAAAAAACTGAAAAAGCTCTGGTGGCACATGGGAGAGGAAAGGCTGCTGCTGGGGACTATGGCAAGGAAGCGATGAGAAAATGTGTCATTGCCACTGCGCTGTATCAGCAGCTGCAGCAGCAATGAGGAAACTTCATAAGCCTGCCCCTGTGTCGAAAACACCTTATGGAGTACAAATGCAGTTACTTATCCTAGAGATCCAGAGATTTGGACTGCCTTTGGCAGCCAGACATTGTATATAGTTTTTCCTTTTGTGTCCCCTCAGAAGAACATCTGGCCAGTAGGATGCAAGTGGTCAGCTTTATTTATTTATTAAATCAGATCTGCTAGGCCACCCTTCCCTACAGTAGGGCTCAGGGCGGTTTACAAGATGATATACAAGTTCTCAATTTAAAATCTAAATTAAAACCAGCCAATAGACATCAATAAATAAAACAGTATACATGTATAAGTACAAGATGGCAGAAGAAATTCACCTCCCCGGCCTCCCTGGCGGCGGCGGCGGCGGGGGGGGGTTTCCGAGGAATGGGGAAATGGTTGAGAGTGCCCCACTGCGGTCCTCAACCAAAGGCCTGGCAGAACATCTCTGCCTTGCATGCCTTGCGGAAAGGTAATAACTCCCACAGGGCATGGATGTCTTCCGGCAGAGAGTTCCACCAGGCAGGGGTCAGGGCTGAAAAAGCCAGGAAGTTCTTATTCCCTGAGCGTAATGCTCTTCCAGGGGCATCCTGGGAGAGGTGGTCCCAAAGGTATGTGGGTCCCTGACCATTAAGGGCCTTAAAGGTCAGAACCAAAACCTTGAAACTGATCCGGTGCGCCACTGGAAGCCAGTGCAGCTCGTGCAGCACTGGTTGAATGTGTGCAGTCCGATGGGTCCCAGTGAGGACCTGTGTGGCTGCATTTTGAATCAGCTGGAGCTTCCAGGTCAGGAGCAAGGGCAGGCCTGCCTAGAGCGAATTACAATAGTCAAACCTGGAGGTGACTGTTGCATGGATTACCGTGGTTTACTTACTGCAAAAGTGAGAGGGGCCAGCCTCTCATTCCCAACCAGCCTAAGCATGCTTAAGGACTTCAGAACTATCTCTCCTACCTAGCACAAACAGATTCCTTCCCTTCTGATTTCTCTCTGATCCCCAGAGAGCTTCAGGAAGGCTGGGATGGCTTTCGTCATGCTCATTCACAAATTGGATTGCCAAGAGGAGACAGATTGATTCCTGGTTGCTAAACTCTTTTGTGAGATTCTGGTTTTTCCCAACCCATATGAGAATCAGCCAACTCCTCAGGCAACCCATTTAGCAAAATACTACACAATGGTCATCCAAATATATGTCTAATCCCCTGGAGAAGTAAGGACAAAAAAGGGAAAAGGGAAAAAAAACTGAACCTAAAACCTAGAATTCAGAACCTAAAAAGGTTAGTCAAGAATAGAAGAGGGCCCTCTTCTATTCTTGACTAACCTTTTTAGGTTCTTAATCCCCTGGAGATGCATTGATAGTTTCAGAAGTTACTTCTTCGCATATCTTTAGGCCTCTAGCATGCATTTTAAGACACAGGGTTGTTGTTTCTTTTTCCAAACAATATGGAAAGCAATACCTAGCAACCCCACACTGATTTGTACTTTAAAAAATTAATACTTGCAAACATCCACACAAAATCAAACCAACTAATTCCCAAACATTTTGTTTAAAATGCTGTGCTAACAATAGAAATGACTAGGAATGTTCAGTCTGGAGAAGAGGAGGTTGAGGGGGGACATGATTGCTCTCTTTAAGCATTTGAAGAGCTGTCACTTAGAGGAGGGCAGGGAGCTGTTCCTGTTGGCAGCAGAGAATAGGACTCACAATAAATAAGGGCGGGGAGGTACCGGCTGGATCTTAGGAAACACTTTTTTACGGTAAGAGTTGTTCAACAGTGGGAGGTGGTGAGCTCCCCTTCATGGGCAGTCTTTAAGCAGCGGCTTGGCAAACACTTGTCAAGGATGCTCTAGGTTGATCCTACATTGAGCAGGGGGTTGGACTAGATGGCCTCTGTGGCACCTTCCAACTCTGTGATTCTATGACTAATAAGGAGGATATGTGACAACTTAGTGGCCTCCAAAAATAAAACCTTCCATTAAATAAATAAATAAATAAAGCCTGCAGTCCTATAACCCCAGACCTTGAAGCAGTCCAACCAAAAACCCAGCAGCAAGCAAGAAAACAATTCAGCTAGACATCTAAGAATCAGCTTCTCGTTTGCTGACTCAGAACACCACCCACTCAGAACATAGCCCAAGATTTGTAGGATAACCTTAAGAAACCATTCACTTTAAATCAGTGAATCAACATTTTCCCAACCACACCCTAAAGGCCCAAATTCCTTCCGCCAGGTCTCTAGAATTCGGGGAAACCATCAAACCTACACTACTCCCCCCCCCAACACCTGAATACAAGCAGAGATGGGGGACAACCACAAACTCTGAAACTTCTAAATTTTTCAGGATCCTGCCCAGAGGTGGAGGGAAATCCCCATTATGCTTCCAACCTCCATCATATTCGGTCCATATTTAAGTTTAAAAAATTTGGAAATTGGTACAAGTGCTATTTATCCATTCAAAACATTTATGTCCTGCCTTTTCCACTGGAACACGATCATCTAAGAGGCTTGCATGGAATAGGAGCAGCCTGAATTAGGCTTTGGATTGTCTTCTTCCACTCATTCACTGACTCCTGATAATTCTTCAAAACCTCAAAATAATTAAAAAAAACACTATGTTGATCTTAAAGGTGCTACTGGACTCAAACATCATTCTGCTGCTTCAGACCAACACGGCTACCCACCTGAATCAATCCTAAAGAGAGTTATACCCTTGTAAACCCACTGAAACGAGTGGGCTTCGAATGGTGTAACTCTGTTTAGGATCGCAACAAACATGCCCCTTTTCTGAGGAAGGCAACAACTACCTTCTGAAACCACCTAAGTGACAGGGGTTCATTTTGGTACACTGCAGCTTCAGAAGATTTATTCATGGAATTTCTCTTCTGAGTTTCATCCACTGTTGCATTTAAGTAACACCCACAGAATGCCAGGTGCTGCAGCCTTGGAAGACAGTAAGCTAGACACTGCATCAGTGTCAAAGAGGGAACGGTTACATCCTATGTGCTCAGCTGCACCAGGAAAAATATTATGGGATTTTATTTTATTACATAGAAGTCTGCTCTTTAAAACCTCCAGCCACATGTCAAACCCTTTTAACATCCAGAGACATTTACTAGCAAGGGTGAAAGTCCTTTTGGCAAAGAGCCTTGGATAAGGAAGTCATAAATACATAATTCATGGTAACAAGCTCCTTCCTACCTACCCTGATTTAAAACAGCTACTGTTCATGTCACCCTCAGTGACCACAAATGAGGTATATACTATCCACTACAGCAAATTACTCTGTACACTGTAGTAATTTACCAAAGCCTGCCCATTCTTGCCTATACTCTGTTGTTTTTTTAACACCACCGTCAACAATATGACTCAGTTGTGAACTTAACACAGGAAACAATACTTGCTTGTACTGCATTTCTTCCTCATGAAGCTGGTTTCTTTTCTGCAAATCTCTTTCACTTAGAGGCTCCATTCAGCAATTACAGCAACATATTTCACTGCAAATTTATCTCAAGCTTTCGCAGATGTTTGTGTCCTGTCCCCCCCACTCCCTCCAGAACCAGTCAGGAAATGGCACTGTTGACTGAACATTGTCCAAGCTGATTAGACACCACGGAAATATGGGGAAAACCAGTTCTGAGGGATACTGACATTAATTAACATTAAAACTAACATTAGGACTTAAAATTATGCTACCCATGATACATCTATCCCCAAACTCAGGGCCTCTTCACACATTTTTTAACTTTAAAAAAGGTGGCGTGTATGTTTGATGAACATATTTATATGGCTGAAAACACGTCAGAAGTTCAAGATTATCTATAGTCTAATTCTCACTGAGGTAATATCTTTTTTCTTGGCAACATTTTTTCAGAATGCAGGTGGCAGGTCACATGATGG